TTTACTTTAAAAAAAGAAGTTAAAAATTGCACTAAGATTGAATTTGTTCAATGAAATATGAAGAATAACAGAGGGCATAAAATGCAGAACACAGAAAGGTTAACACTTACAATGAGGCAGGAACACAACACATCAATATACACACAATACTATGATAATTTTCTTGGAATAAGATCTTGTGTTGACAAAAATTTGAAATAATTGTCTTGCTTCACACTAAATAATGGCACTATTGTCTGTGGAGATAGGACAAATTAGACACTGGCTAAATAAAAAGAATTAGCATAAAAGAATGTTCAACACACAGTAAAATGGGAAATGAATTAATAAAAAAATCAGCAAGAATACATAAATGCTGAAAAAAATAAATAACTGAGACAACACTGAGTTGTGATGCAGAATATAAGATAACAGTTACTGAATTACTTTACTTCATAAATTACTGGGCAAGGAACACAGTACTGTGAACACACGATAATTGTGAAGTGTAAACACAAGTTTATACTGCTTATATATTGCACACAACAGGGAAAAATGGAAAAGTACTTACTTCACGTATATATAAAAAAGGGAACACAACAGACATAAAAAATAAGGCACGAAAATTTAAACACTGAAGGAAGAAAAAAAAATATTGCAAACAGGATGTAATGAACACCGAGTCTGATCAAACATCACTGAATGTCACTAAGAAATCACTGAGAAAGAAATGTCACAGCACTCGCAAATGTCTCTATAAAAAGATTATTATAACTGGAGCAACGTCAGCGGAGGATGAGGGTGGTAGAAGGTGGTGTAAGGTGGAAAGTTGTCTGGGCCTCAAAGAATTTGAGCTTAAACTCGATGAACTCGCATAGCAAGGCTTTTCTCGTTGGTGCACAGGTACGATGAAACAATCTTGTGTCTTGACCCACTATGCGAGCCGTAAAATAAGGTGCTAGGACCCAATATAAGGACGAAAAACAATGGTGGTGGGTAGGTGTGGGAGAGTGAGGCAGTGCACTGGGACACTGTGTGGTGGCTAGGCCTACTGGATAAGCAGCGTAACCCACGTGCTCTAGGTACACCCACACTAGGCACAAAAATATTCAAAGCCAGGCTGGCTTAAAAACCACAAAATACCACAACACCACAGGGATGGTATAAGCACTAAAGACAGCTAGAACTGGGAGCACAAAACGATGGTGAAGGCTGGAACTCACATGGCTTGCTTGAGGACTGGGTTTAGTCACCTGGGTTAGTTGGCTGGTTGGCTTGGCTTAACCCGTCACACAGACTGGCTTGAGAACTTGTAACGATGAGCATGGCAGGGGTGGAAAGCTGGCTAGCAGGCAAGGCTGGTATTTAAGACAGGTTGGATAGCTAGGGCTTGACTTCCCCCCCCCCCAGACTGGCTTGGCAGCTAGGCTTAATTTGCAAACCCGGGTCAACCCATCGGAAGTAATGCAAATAAGCAGATAAAACACAAAACACAAGGACTGACCATTAAGCAGAAGCAAACAGGCTGGTGGACGCTTGCTTGGGGTAGCTGACTGCTAGGCGTCCATGCAATCGACACACAAAGTCCACGGCTGATAGAAATTAATCTCCGTACATCTGCGTAAATATCAAATTTACACGCTCACTGCTGGCACCATTTGTTGAGAGGGTTTGTGGAGATATGATGGTCGGAGTTAAACACACTTGTTGGTTGGTAACACTTACATTAGCAGAGTGTGAGGATGAGGAGCCCAGCCTGCCATGTTGCCTTGTTGTAGTCCTAAGCATGGAGTGAGAAAGAGGCTGGGAGCCCAATGCTCACATGCAACATCACGTGATGTCACACATGCTAGTCACCGAGCCTAGCAAGGGGTCAACTATGTAAAACATATGGATGGTACTATGATACTCAGATAACATATACATATACAGGGGATCAGCAACTATGCCAATCCTATAGTACTCCGAGTACTTATTAGTGGGTAAACTGACCTCTGAATCTTTGGTATTATAGATGAATCCTACGACTGTTACCCTTTGGGTCATGTTAACTTTCTGACTTAATGTTGTATCTACTTGTAAAATTAACCTCTGGATATACTTGTGTGCTGAAGCTACATTCCCAAGTTATCAGGGATGAAGATGCAAAGTGAAGCCAGTCGCATGAGGCATTCAATTTTTTTTTATTAACACATTGGCCGTTTCCCAACAAGGCAGGGTGGCCTGAAAAAGAAAGCCTTTCATCATTCACTCCTCCACTGACTTGCCAGAGGCATGCTTACACTACAGTTATAAAACTGCAAGACTAACACCCCTCCTTCAGAGTGCTTGTACTGTACTTTCCATCTCAACTCTGGCCTGTCGGTTTCCCTGAATCCCTTCATAAATATTACCTTGCTTTCACTCCAACAGCACGTCAAGTCCTAAAAACCATTTGTCTCTATTGCTCCTAACACACTCATGTATGCTTGCTGGAAGCCCAAGCCCCTCGCACACAAAACCTCCTTTACCTCCTCCCTCCAACTTTTTCTAGGCCGACCCCCTACCCCGCCTTCCCTCCACTACAGATTTATACACTCTCGAAGTCATTCTCTTTCGTTCCAACCTCTCTACATGTCCGAACCACCTCAACAACCCCTCCTTAGCCCTCTGGATAATAGTTTTGGTAATCCCGCACCTCCTCCCAATCTCCACACTACGGATTCTTTGCATTATATTCACACCACACATTGCCCTCAGACATGATATCTCCAGCTGCCTCCAGCATTCTCCTTGTTGCAACATTCACCACCCATGCTTCATACCATGAACGTTGGTATAACTACTCTCATACATTTCCCTCTTTGCTTTCATGGACAAAGTTCTTCTCTTCAGAATCTTCCAAAACCACAGTGTCATCAGCAAACAGCATCTGTGACAACTCTCACTTTGTGTTTGATTCTTTATCTTATAATCACAAACCTCTTGCCAACACCCGAACATTCACTTCTCTTACAACCTCATCAATATACTGAACAACCATGGTGACATCACACATAGTTGTCTAAGGCCTACATTTACTGGGAAATAATCTCCCTCTCTCTCATATATATATCTAGGTAGTAGGTTGGTAGACAGCAACCACCCAGGGAGGTACTACCGTCCTGCCAAGTGAGTGTAAAACGAAAGCCTGTAATTGTTTTACATAATAGTAGGATTGCTGGTGTCTTTTTCTGTCTCGTAAATATGCAAGAGTTCAGGTACGTCATGCTACTTCTACTTACACTTAGGTCACACTACACATACATGTACAAGCATATATATACACACCCCTTTGAGTTTTCTTCTATTTTCTTTCTAGTTCTTGTTCTTGTTTATTTCCTCTTACCTCCATGGGGAAGTGGAACAGAATTCTTCCTCCGTAAGCCATGCGTGTTGTAAGAGGCGGCTAAAATGCCTGGAGCAAGGGGTTAGTAACCCCTTCTCCTGTATATACTATTACTAAATGTAAGAGGAGAAACTTTTGTTTTTCCTTTTGGGCCACCCCACCTCGGTGGGATATGGCCGGTGTGTTGAAAGTAATATATATATATATATATATATATATATATATATATATATATATATATATATATATATATTATATATATATATATATATATATATATATTTAATATATAAAATTAATTAGAATATTATTAATATTAATCTATTATATAAATTATATCTTATATATTATATATATATATATTTTATATAATTATATTAAAATATATATATATATATATTTATAAAATTTAAAATTTCGTGCCGAATATGTAAAAGGTCAATTACAAATTCATTCAAAATTAAGTCCTTTCTAAAATTTTCTCTTATAAGTTTAAAGATATATATTTTTCATTAATGTTAATGTAAAAAAAATTAAATTTTGCACCAAAAGAATCTTAGAAAACTTACCTAACCTTATTATAACAAGAACAATTTATTTTAGCCTAACCCAACTAAATATATTTTAGATTTGTTTACAATAATTTAATACTAAACAAACACAGTGAAATATATTTTTTGCGTTAGGTTCAGAATGATTTTGGCGAAATTATTGCATACACAAATTTTCACTTGTCCTATATGGCAAGATGAGCGTTGCTAATTAAGCCAAGATGGCAAGTTCTGCCTATTCGGCACGACATACATATATATATATATATATATATATAAAATAATATATTTTTATAAATAAATACACACACAAGCGTCCTTAGATGTCCACGTCTTCCATAGTCTAGGAATACGCACACTGGTACACTATGTTCCACAAGATTTGTCTTTATTGTTCACAATCATATCACTGAAGAAGCTGATCTCACTTCTCTGTAAGTGTTTATTGTGTTTTGTGAGACACTTTGTTCACACTAATGCACGGATCAGTGTTCTTTGTTGGTTATCCTGCCGTCAGTGTGACTCTCAGTAGAGTCATAAGTAATCTGAAGACGCCACAGCCTCCTACACCGTCAATGCCCCTCGCACATAAAGGAAAAGCTGACCTAGTACTTTGTGCTTCCTTGCCACTTCCTCCATGAAGCAAAGCAGAATGTTTGATTCTTGCATAGACAACAATGTACACTATCTTTACCATGGTTATAAAGTGGGAGCTGGGTTTACCTTAATTGTCCTGCTAAGGTAAGAGATGGACTCTCTCTTATTAAATTACACTTTGCACACTGGAGTCTTGCAAGGAGCGGTGGTCGCTTGACCACAGGTCGTATACTCGTACTGAATCTGGAATCAATTACTTGCTGTAGCAGTAAACAAGATGCTTGCCCCTTCTGAGAGGGCTGGGCCCCTCAGGGCTGAAAGGGGCTGAAAGGAGCTGAAGGGGGCTGATACCCCCCTCCTGGAGAAAATTTCTCCATAGATGAGATCTCACACCATAAACATATTTTTTGGGGTAAAACAAACCTGAGACAACTACTCTAAGGAACCCCGTCGGGGATACACTAATCCACTCACTAACCCATCCAGATTTATCTACTCAACCTTACCCTTCAAGTTTCAGTTGAACATCATACGTGAGGTGGAGAGGTACGTTCAACATCTGTGAGGCAGCACCGTTGGCATTCAATTCTATCTCCACATCCACTGACTCAGCTTTTTTTCCCATAATTTCTCTGAGTCCTGTATACTCTTCTTCTTCCTCTTCCTGAAGCATCACCTCCAGCGTCTCCTACAGTGAACCATATATCGAGTTATTCTCAAATTCTCAAAAATTTTTGAAATCTACGATGTAAATAATTAAAAAAAATAAACATGATAAAAATCATTAAAGCCAAATGACAGTTTTAATCTAACTTGCATGTAAATTATACTTCCTATGAACATTTTTTAATTAAAAATTAATATTCGACAAGCGCTTAGTATTGTGCCGAATATTTATAGAAAAAAATGTTTGATATTTTAAGTACGTATTTTGCTCTCTAAATTAGGTTTACTGGCAACTGTATTTAACTGTTTCCCAGCTAGGTCTCTTGTATGAATCAGAATATAAACACTGAGATATAGAAATAATCACAAACAAATAACCCAGACATTGGAGAATGAAAGTGATGACGTTTTGGTCCAACTTGGATTATTAATTAGTCACATAGCAGCGTGAAGAAGGGAGTCAGTATGTATGTATATATATGTGTGCGTATATATATCTATATATATATATATAATATATATATATATATATATATATATATATATATATATATATATATATATTAGTAGGAGTAGCAGCAGTAGTAGTAGTAGTAGGGGCAGCAGCAGTGGAGGTAGTCTTAGGACAAGATAAAAATGAAAGAAAATGAGCACTGCAGGAGAGCTATAAGCCGAAGAGTGTGGAACTTAAAACCCAGGGAAGAAAAACTCTTAGGACAGAACTTACCTAGGCAGAAGAAAGGAAAGACAATGATAATATAGATAAGAAGAATAGGTAAGGAGAGGGGGAGATAAAGATCAGGTCAAGTCACAAGTGTTCTGAAGTTTTCAGCATTTGACAATGTAATGAGAAAGGAAAGCATCTACGGAGACAAGTTGTGTATAAGTGATGCTTCAACATGACGGCGTCTGCGAAGGCTAGAAGTGTAGACAGTTTTAGCAGAGGGCCAGTTAATAGGATGATTATGATCTCAAACATTATTAATGTCGGCGAGCAGAGCACTATTTTTGTGCTCATTGAGTCTGTCAGAAAGAAAGCGGCCAGTTTCTCCAGGTATTGGAGAGGTCAAAAAGAGCATGAAATTAAGTAGACTCGGGAAGCATCAGTAGCAGAAGAGGAACAAACTTAATTACTATGATTGGCGTTTGTTCGGCGAAAAGTAACTTAGATGTCTAAGGAACGGAAGGAGCCGTTAAGATTTGAGTAGTCTGGAAATATAGAAAGGCAAATGAAAAAAATTCACAAGACTAGAGTGTTTGGAGAAGACAGAGTTTACGAAACATAAAGGGTAGCCAACACGAGAGAACGAATTGCGATGAGTGGAAATTTCCAAGCCAAACAACTGAGGGTCATAAATGCAGAGGGCATGGAGAAAGAGAAATAAAAACATTTTTATTGACAGAGGGAGCATGGTAAAAAAAAATAGTGAATGTACATGCCGAGGTATGAACATCATACCTCCTCTGCATATACAACATTTGAACTAGCCGTATGATTATAAAAACGATACTAATACTACTAATCTTTATTTCTACAAGTACATGTAGAAGGTACACAGACCATAGCTGACATCAATGACATGCTATGAAAGCCGCTTGTTATTCAGAGCATTTTCCGCAAATTAGGTTAATTTTGTCCCAGGATGCGACCCACACCTGTCGACTAACACCCTGGTGTTACATGGACATCAGGTGTCTTAAGGAAACACGTACTAATATTTTCTGCCATACCGGGGAATCGATCCCCGGACCCCAGTGTGTAAGCTCATTGCTCTAGCAATCGAGCTACGGGACACCTGGGTCGCTACCAAGTCGTATATTTAAGTTATTATTGATAATTTTATTAATTTAAGTATCACATCCTTTCAGAATTATAAAAGAAATACACTACATATAAAAAACTAATATAAACGATCATAAAAGAGAAAACTGACATCATAGATACACAAATAATCCGCACATAGGAGAGAGAAGCTTACCACCGACACCATGCCTAACCCTTCTAGGGTAGGGTAGGTGCCTGAGCCCGAGCCTTTAGCTCATAAGACTGTCATTCCCATTTGCTCCCTTGGGGCGGGGATGGCAGACCAGAGAGGCCTAGCTTGTGGCTAGGCCTGGGGACAGTTGGTCCCAAAGATGAGGAGGTACTTGTGTCTCCTCCCATGGGAGACTTAAGTCTCAGACACTCCCTAAAGAGGGAGCCAAGGCCGGGCCACCACTTGGAAAAGGCCCGGGCCGGGAGAATACCGGCTAATCTTTACCTAACCGAGAACCTTCCCACGACATTTAGGTCAGACTTGGACCATTTACAAAGTCAGTGTGACTGTAAATGGTCCAAGTTGGACCGAAACGTCTTTGTAAGCTTCTCTGTTCTATGTGCGGGTTATCTGTGTATCGTTCCACTCACGGTATTGTGCTTTTTTTTGTTATTCATCATGGTGAGGACTGGTAGCCGAGTGTACTGTGGTCTATGATATTAGTTAGTTAGTTAGTTAAAGATTAGCCGGTATTCTCCCGGCCCGGGCCTTGTCCAAGTGGTGGCCCGGCCTTGGCTCCCTCTTTAGGGAGTGTCTGAGACCTAAGTCTCCCATGGGAGGAGGCACAAGTACCTCCTCATCTTTGGGACCAACTGTCCCCAGGCCTAGCCACAAGCTAGGCCTCTCTGGTCTGCCATCCCCACCCCAAGGGGGCTAATGAGAATGACAGTCTTATGAGCTAAAGGCTCGGGCTCAGGCACCTACCCTACCCTAGAAGGGTTAGGCATGGTGTCGATCCTCTATGATATTTTTTTTTTTTTTTTTTTTTTTTTTATTCACCGGTATTCTCCCGGCCCGGGTCTTTTCCAAGTAGTGGTGACCCGGCCTTGGCTCCCTATCTGGGGAGTGTCTCGAGACTTAAGTCTCCCATGGGAGGAAGAACAAGTACCTCCTCATCTTTGGGACCAAGTGTCCCCAGGCCTAGCCACATTCCCCGCCCTCACGGGGCTCGTAGGAAGAAGCTAGGCCTCTGGTCTGCCATCTACCCCGCCTCAAAGTGGCTCGTGGGGATGGCAGTCTTATGAGCTGCAGATGATAGCAAGCTCAGGCTTCTTCATTCTATGATATTACTCTCTGACCCACTACCACTTGAGAAATGTTTATACTTGAGAAATGTTTATGACCAGGACGTTACTGCAGAAGTATGGAACAATATTACTTTCGTATGTTTTTACACATAATTAGCGTCAATCGCTCTCATAAAATAAAAATGAAACATTTTCTCTCGAGAGAAAAATGTCGCTCCGATTTTCGTCGCATAGATCCACCAGAGCAATGTCTATGTATACCAAATATTTTTTTTGCGTTTATGAGGGGCAGAAGAGGGCCGATAATTTATTTTGTCAAAAAATTGTCAACTTTATTTTTTTTTAGGGGGGAAGGAAGAAAATAACTTTTGTAACAGAATTTGGCTTAACGGAAAATTTGATTCGTTGATTTGACTGACTTCCGATTTCCGCCAAACTTTTTGTCTTAAAACTTTGTCTAAAGATGATTCTAAGAAAAATAAATGAAATCGGACGATAAATCATAAAAAAGTAAAAAGAAAAACCATTCTGTGTTCCCCCCCCCAAAAGCTTTATTTTGTAAACCTTCAGATGTTAATTATAAATTAGTAATAACACATCCACATATTTATAGGTACGAAAAGTTAAGAGAGCAGCCCAAGAGCTGAAGCTCAGGCGACACAAACATGCACAATATCTTAAGGAAAGCACTGAGGGAAAATTGTCTGACCTCAGTCTCGTACAAGGGATTCTGTAGCTCACAGGCGACAGTAGTGGAGGTAGAGACAAAACAAGCGAAGGGAAGGGTCCTGAGGCTCATGCCAGGGGGAAGGGTCACCTGCACCAGTCCCTGGTATGCTGGCTCGCCTGTCACCTTCACCTGAATCCGTAAAATGAGGAGTTCCATGCTGCTGACAATGTATCGTCCTGACGACCTGAGGAAGATCTGTATTTATTTGCACAGCTTATGTTTATACTGTGGCATTTTATGTGATTCATGTGTAGCACAAATGCCTAATAAGGTACAACTGGACAGCGCTTGTGTACTTTCTTTACTTCCAGGTTTTCGTTTGTAGCTCGAGATTACCTAATCCGATCGGATACGAAGCTTCAACACTGGTTTATTTGAACTAGAGAAAGGTCCATGTTGTTAGTAGGATGCGTAGGTCCCTGTCTGCAAGTGTTGTTACTGGGATGAGTAGGTCCCTGTCTGCCAGTGTTGTTACTGGGATGAGTAGGTCCCAGTCTGCCATTGTTGTTACTGGGATGGGTAGGTCCATGTCTGCCAGTGTTGTTACTAGGATGGGTAGGTCCCTGTCTGCCAGTGTTGTTACTGGGATGGGTAGGTCCCTGTCTGCCATAGTTGTTACTGGGATGGGTAGGTCCATGTCTGCCAGTGTTGTTACTGGGATGGGTAGGTTCCTGTCTGCCAGTGTTGTTACTGGGATGGGTAGGTCCCTGTCTGCCAGTGTTGTTACTGGGATGGGTAGGTCCCTGTCTGCCAGTGTTGTTACTAGGATGGGTAGGTCCCTGTCTGCCAGTGTTGTTACTAGGATGGGTAGGTCCCTGTCTGCCATAGTTGTTACTGGGATGGGTAGGTCCATGTCTGCCAGTGTTGTTACTGGGATGGGTAGGTTCCTGTCTGCCAGTGTTGTTACTGGGATGGGTAGTTCCCTGTCTGCCAGTGTTGTTACTGGGATGGGTAGGTCCCTGTCTGCCAGTGTTGTTAATGGGATGGGTAGGTCCCTGTCCGCCAGTGTTGTTACTGGGATGGGTAGGTCCCTGTCTGCCAGTGTTGTTACTGGGATGAGTAGGTCCCTGTCTGCCATTGTTGTTACTGGGATGGGTAGATCCATGTCTGCCAGTGTTGTTACTGGGATGGGTAGGTCCCTGTCTGCCAGTGTTGTTACTGAGATGGGTAGGTCCCTGTCTGCCAGTGTTGTTACTGGGATGGGTAGGTCCCTGTCTGCCAGTGTTGTTACTGGGATGGGTAGGTTTCCATGTCTGCCAGTGTTGTTACTGGGATGGGTAGGTCCCTGTCTGCCAGTGTTGTTACTGGGATGGGTAGGTCCCTGTCTGCCAGTGTTGTTACTGGGATGGGTAGGTCCCTGTCTGCCAGTGTTGTTACTGGGATGGGCAGGTCCCTGTCTGCCAGTGTTGTTACTGGGATGGGTAGGTCCCTGTCTGCCAGTGTTGTTACTCTGATGGGTAGGTCCATGTCTGTCAGTGTTGTTACTGGGATGGGTAGGTCTCTGTCTGTCAGTGTTGTTACTGGGATGGGTAGGTCCATGTCTGCCAGTGTTGTTACTGGGATGGGTAGGTCCCTGTCTGCTAGTGTTGTTACTGGGATGGGTAGGTCCCTGTCTGCCAGTGTTGTTACTGGGATGGGTAGATCCCTGTCTGCCAGTGTTGTTACTGGGATGGGTAGGTCCCTGTCTACCAGTGTTGTTACTGGGATGGGTAGGTCCCTGTCCGCCAGTGTTGTTACTGGGATGGGTAGGTCCCTGTCTGCCAGTGTTGTTACTGGGATGGGTAGGTCCCTGTCTGCCATAGTTGTTACTGGGATGGGTAGGTCCCTGTCTGCCAGTGTTGTTACTGGGATGGGTAGGTCCCTGTCTGCCAGTGTTGTTACTGGGATGGGTAGGTCCCTGTCTGCCAGTGTTGTTTCTGGGATGGGTAGGTCCATGTCTGTCAGTGTTGTTACTGGGATGGGTAGTTCCCTGTCTGCCAGTGTTGTTACTGGGATGGGTAGGTCCCTGTCTGCCAGTGTTGTTACTTGGATGGGTAGGTCCATGTCTGCCAGTGTTGTTACTGGGATTGGGGAGGTCCCTGTCTGCCAGTTTTGTTTACTGGGATGGGTAGGTCCCTGTCTGCCAGTGTTGTTACTGGGATGGGTAGGTCCCTGTCTGCCAGTGTTGTTACTGGGATGGGTAGGTCCCTGTCTGCCAGTGTTGTTACTGGGATGGGTAGGTCCATGTCTGCCAGTGTTGTTACTGGGATGGGTAGGTCCCTGTCTGCCAGTGTTGTTACTGGGATGGGTAGGTCCCTGTCTGCCAGTGTTGTTTCTGGGATGGGTAGGTCCATGTCTGTCAGTGTTGTTACTGGGATGGGTAGGTCCCTGTCTGCCAGTGTTGTTACTGGGATGGGTAGGTCCCTGTCTGCCAGTGTTGTTACTGGGATGGGTAGGTCCATGTCTGCCAGTGTTGTTACTGGGATGGGTAGGTCCCTGTCTGCCAGTGTTGTTACTGGGATGGGTAGGTCCTGTCTGCCAGTGTTGTTACTGGGATGGGTAGGTCCCTGTCTGCCAGTGTTGTTACTGGGATGAGTAGGTCCCTGTTTGCCAGTGTTGTTACTGGGATGAGTAGGTCCCTGTTTGCCAGTGTTGTTACTGGGATGGGTAGGTCCCTGTCTGCCAGGTGTTGGGTTACTGTGGTTATGGGTAGGTCCATGTCTGCCAGTGTTGTTATGGGTATGGGTTCCAGGTTCAGTGTCTGTCAGTGTTGTTACTGTGGATGGGTAGGTCCCTGTCTGCCAGTGTTGTTACTGCGATGGGTAGGTCCCTGTCTGCCAGTGTTTGTTACTGGGATGGGTAGGTCCCTGTCTCCAGTGTTGTTACTGGGATGGGTAGGTCCCTGTCTGCCAGTGTTGTTACTGGGATGGGTAGGTCCATGTCTGCCAGTGTTGTTACTGGGATGGGTAGGTCCCTGTCTGCCAGTGTTGTTACTGTGATGGGTAGGTCCCTGTCTGCCAGTGTTGTTACTGGGATGGGTAGGTCCCTGTCTACCAGTGTTGTTACTGGGATGGGTAGGTCCCTGTCCGCCAGTGTTGTTACTGGGATGGGTAGGTCCCTGTCTGCCAGTGTTGTTACTGGGATGGGTAGGTCCCTGTCTGCCAGTGTTGTTACTGTGATGGGTAGGTCCCTGTCTGCCAGTGTTGTTACTGGGATGGGTAGGTCCCAGTCTACCAGTGTTGTTACTGGGATGGGTAGGTCCCTGTCTGCCAGTGTTGTTACTGGGATGGGTAGGTCCCTGTCTGCCAGTGTTGTTACTGGGATGAGTAGGTCCCTGTCTACCAGTGTTGTTACTGGGATGGGTAGGTCCCTGTCTGCCAGTGTTGTTACTGGGATGGGTAGGTCCCTGTCTACCAGTGTTGTTACTGGGATGGGTAGGTCCCTGTCTACCAGTGTTGTTACTGGGATGGGTAGGTCCCTGTCTACCAGTGTTGTTACTGGATGGGTAGGTCCCTGTCTACCAGTGTTGTTACTGGGATGGGTAGGTCCCTGTCTACCAGTGTTGTTACTGGGATGGGTAGGTCCCTGTCTACCAGTGTTGTTACTGGGATGGGTAGGTCCCTGTCTACCAGTGTTGTTACTGGGATGGGTAGGTCCCTGTCTACCAGTGTTGTTACTGGGATGGGTAGGTCCCTGTCTACCAGTGTTGTTTATTACAATACATGGTACAAGTTACCATAAGATACAAAGCCTCCTCTGACCGGCTTTTTCAAACATTCCAATCTAGGTGTATACTGTGGAGAAAGTCAGATGTCTGTCTGGCCCAGTGTTGTTTGGTGCTATTTCCACAATTTGCAAAGTTTTATGGAAATTTCGGTATATGTCTTGCAGATGCTATATCGGGACTTAAAATTTAACAACGTGATGTTAACTGCTGAGGAAGATTAAAAGTGTTTAATTAAAGGTTTCGTGTTACTTTCTAAACAAGATAAATGTACTGGGGATAGTAGGTCCTGCAAATTTGTAACTACGATGAGTCAAACTTTTCCATATTATTACTTATTATTATAGTCCAGGGGCAAGGCTAATACCGTGGATGTATACAGCGCCAGGGTTGACGGGATGTGGAGGCATTCAGGCTTAATTCGGGGAACTGGAGCACAGATCCAATTCCCTAAATCAAGAGCCCCTCACCAACATCAAGGAACCTTCCATGAGGGGACTAACTTTTTCCATAGATCATTTTTACTCGAAGTATTGTTTATAATGTTACTAGGCTGTATAAACTCCAATTTGCCAAATATTTATGAAATAATTTGAGACAATTTCCTCGTGATACTAATAGAATATTTCTTATGATCTACATCAAACAACATTCAATGTTGGAATGTCTTACTTAGGGAAGGTTTTAGATTGCTTTTAACCTGGATTTGTTTTAATTTTCTAAATAACATAAATGTGATAGTGGTTTGGGGTTATTTCTTGAGAATGCACTGTTATATCGGCTTCAAACGTGATCCCGCCGCCTCCTGCTTCCACTCACCTGACTACAGTATATAAGCCACTTTTCCGGCCATGTGCTGTACGTTCTACAAAAGTAATAGACTGAACACATCGATTCCAGGCTGAGGGACTGATTACCTCAAACTACTCCTCTCCTTACCCCCCCCTCTGCTTTGTATTGGACTGAAGCCACTGTGTGGCGAAACGTTTCCTTAATAAAGATCCCCATAAGTATCTCAATCTTTAATTTACTCTTGGCTCTTCCTTTTGTGAACGTCCAGTTGAAACTCAGTAGTTCAGCCAACTTAAGTGAAAACTGCCTTTACATTACGTATATGGAGACAGATTAATGTTTGTAAAATGTGTATGGGTTACGTAATATTTGTAAAATGTATATAGATAACGTAATTTACATTTAGTAATATACACACATTTTAGAGCATTTTCAGATATACAAAGCACTAACTTTCCTTTATTAGAATAAAGCAAATTCCTCAAAACAGTGCCAACTTACAGTCCTGAGGTCCAGTCAGCTTGGAGGCTGAGTGTGGGGGTGCATCTACCATCAGTGCCACATCCCAGAGCCAGAGGCAGGGACATCTTGACCATGGTAGTTGACTCCGGGGATAAGACAGAACACTCGGCACACCATGGCCTTCCTGCATAAGGTTAAGTAAAGGTCGGTATAATAAAACGCACAATAATTCTTAGTTTAAGATGTTTATAGATGGTATATGCTCAGTGATAACTTTTATACCAGCAGACGGGAAGCTCAGTGATAACTTTTATACCAGCAGACGGGAAGCTCAGCGATAACTTTTATATACCAGCATACGGGAAGCTCAGTGATAACTTTTATACCAGCAGACGGAAACTCAGTGATAACTTTTTATACCAGCAGACGGGAAGCTCAGTGATAACTTTATACCAGCAGACGGGAAGCTCAGTGATAACTTTTATACCAGCAGACGGGAAGCTCAGTGATAACTTTTATACCAGCAGACGGGAAGCTCAGCGATAACTTTTATACCAGCAGACGGGAAGCTCAGTGATAACTTTTATACCAGCAGACGGGAAGCTCAGTGATAACTTTTATACCAGCAGACGGGAAGCTCAGTGATAACTTTTATACCAGCAGACGGGAAGCTCAGTGATAACTTTTATACCAGCAGACGGGAAGCTCAGTGATAACTTTTATACCAGCAGACGGGAAGCTCAGCGATAACTTTTATACCAGCAGACGGGAAGCTCAGTGATAACTTTTATACCAGCAGACGGGAAGCTCAGTGATAACTTTATACCAGCAGACGGGAAGCTCAGTGATAACTTTTAACCAGCAGACGGGAAGCTCAGTGATAACTTTATACCAGCAACGGAAGCTCAGTGATAACTTTTATACCAGACGAGGAAGTCTCAGCGATAACTTTTATACCAGCAGACGGGAAGCTCAGTGATAACTTTTATACCAGCAGACTGGAAGCTCAGTGATAACTTTTATACCAGCAGACGGAAGCTCAGCGATAACTTTTATACCAGCAGACGGGAAGCTCAGTGATAACTTTTATACCAGCAGTCGGGAAGCTCAGTGATAACTTTTATACCAGCAGACGGGAAGCTCAGCGATAACTTTTATACCAGCAGACGGGAAGCTCAGTGATAACTTTTATACAGCAGACAGGAAACTCAGATAACTTTTATACCAGCAGACAGGAAGCTCAGTGATAACTTTTATACCAGCAGACTGGAAGCTCAGTGATAACTTTTATACCAGCAGACAGAAAACTCAGATAACTTTTATACCAGCAGACGGGAAGCTCAGTGATAACTTTTATACCAGCAGACGGGAAGCTCAGTGATAACTTTTATACCAGCAGACTGGAAGCTCAGTGATAACTTTTATACCAGCAGACAGGAAACTCAGATAACTTTTATACCAGCAGACGGGAAGCTCAGTGATAACTTTTATACCAGCAGACGGGAAGCTCAGTGATAACTATACCAGAAGACATGAAGCTCAGTGATAACTTACTCCAGCAGACGGGAAGCTCAGTGATAACTTATACCAGCAGACAGGAAGCTCAGTGATAACTTACTCCAGCAAACGGGAAGCTCAGTGATAACTTATTCCAGCAGACGGGAAACTCAGTGATAACTTATACCAGCAGACAGGAAGCTCAGTGATAACTTATACCAGCAGACAGGAAGCTCAGTGATAACTTACACCAGCAGACAGGAAGCTCAGTGATAACTTACACCAGCAGACGGGAAGCTCAGTGATAACTTACACCAGCAGACAGGAAGCTCAGTGATAACTTACACCAGCAGACAGGAAGCTCAGTGATAACTTACACAGCAGACGGAAGCTCAGTGATAACTGACACCAGCCAGACGGGAAGCTCAGTGATAACTTACACCAGCAGACAGGAAGCTCAGTGATAACTTACACCAGCAGACAGGAAGCTCAGTGATAACTTACACCAGCAGACAGGAAGCTCAGTGCTAACTTACACCAGCAGACGGGAAGCTCAGTGATAACTTACACCAGCAGACGGGAAGCTCAGTGATAACTTACACCAGCAGACGGGAAGCTTAAGTGATAACTTACACAGCAGACGGAAGCCAGTGATAACTTACACCAGCAGACGGAAGCTTAGTGATAACTTACACCAGCAGACGGGAAGCTCAGTGATAACTTACACCAGCAGACGGGAAGCTCAGTGAAACTTACACCAGCAGACGGGAAGCTTAGTGATAACTTACAAACCCGCAGACGGGAAGCTCAGTGATAACTTACACCAGCAGACGGGAAGCCAGTGATAACTTACACCAGCAGACGGGAAGCTCAGTGATAACTTACACCAGCAGACGGGAAGCTCAGTGATAACTTACACCAGCAGACGGGAAGCTCAGTGATAACTTACACCAGCAGACGGAAGCTCAGTGATAACTTACACCCAGCAGACGGAAGCACAGTGATAACTTACACCAGCAGACGGTAAGCTCAGTGATAACTTACACCAGCAGACGGGAAGCTTAGTGATAACTTACACCAGCAGACGGGAAGCTCAGTGATAACTTACACCAGCAGAACGGGAAGCTCAGTGATAACTTACACCAGCAGACGGGAAGCTCAGTGATAACTTACACCAGCTGACGGGAAGCTCAGTGATAACTTACACCAGCAGACGGGAAGCTCAGTGATAACTTACACCAGCAGACGGGAAGCTCAGTGATAACTTACACCAGCAGACGGGAAGCTCAGTGATAACTTACACCACCAGACGGGAAGCTCAGTGATAACTTACACCAGCAGACAGGAAGCTCAGTGATAACTTACACCAGCAGACGGGAAGCTCAGTGAAACTTACAACCAGCAGACGGGAAGCTCAGTGATAACTTACACCAGCAGACGGGAAGCTCAGTGATAACTTACACCAGCAGACGGGAAGCAAGAAAAACAAACACACTAGGCAACACTATTCTCCAGAACATCATTAATATCAAGAGGCAATTATTAAAACTTTCGCCAACAATTGGTTACTGCCTCATTCTGTTTACTAGTTACACGTTCCACAACACAAGCTTTCAATATTTATGTGCCGCATATATTTGTGTTAATAATTCACTTCTGGTTGAGTAGAATAAAATTATCACACAGAGGAACCATAAAGATAATTCCTTTACATATAAATTTCCTTTTGGTTAGACTTATTGCACTTTAAGTGACGAAGGAAATATAATCACTTGAGGCAATAATATTAACTGTTTTCGTCCATGTAATAAGAGACATGCAAATCAACAAGCAGTTATAACCACTAGAGAATGTTAGTGTTTAACTGAATTAAGGTAAAATGTAGTAAATTATATTGTGTGTGTGTGTGTGTGTGTGTGTGTGTGTGTGTGTGTGTGTGTGTGTGTGTGTGTGTGTGTGTGTACACTCACCTATATATACTCACCTATGTGGTTGCAGGGGTCGAGTCATAGCTCCTGGCCCCGCCTCTTCACTGGTCGATACTAATTCACTCTCTCCCTGTTCCATGATACTTGTCATACCTCTTCTTAAAGCTATTTATGGAACTTGCTTCCACTACTTCACTCTCAGCTTTTCCAGTTCCTGAAAACCCTATAAGACTAAAGAAATACTTTCTAAATCCCTATGACTCATCTGGGGTTTTCATTTTCAATTGTGTCCCCTTGTTTCTGTATCCCATCTCTAAAACATTCGATCCTTGTCACGTTGTCAATGCCTCTTATATTTTATACGTTGCATCATGTCCCCTCTACCCCTCCTATCCTCTAGTGTCATCAGGTTGAGTTCCCTTAATCTCTCCTATAAAACATACCCCTCATTCCGGAACTAATCGTGTTGCAAATTTTTGCACTTTCCCCAAATTTCTTGACGTGTTTGCTAAGTGAGGGTTCCATACTGGCGCTGCATATTCCAGTATAGGCCTTACGTACACTGTGTACAATGTCGTGAATGACTCCTTACTCAGATGTCTAAACACCAATCTCGGTTTGCCAATCTCCAAAATGCTGCAGCAGTTATTTGATTGATGTGTGCCCAGGGGACATGTTCGTTATGATGCTTACCCCAAGACCCTTTTTCGTTAACTGACGTTCGCAGCTGTTGGTTTCCAAACCTGTGCTCCGTCTGCGGTCTTCTGTGTCCTTCCCCAATCTTCATGACCTTACACTTACTGGGGTTAAACTCCAGGAGCCATTTGTCGGACCATACTTGTAGTTTGTCCAGATCCCCTTGTAATCTTAACTGATCCTTTCCCACTTGTATTCTCCTCATCAGTTTCACATCATCAGCGAACAGTGACACTTCTGAATCTATTCCTTCCACCATGTCATTCACGTATACAAGAAACAGCACCCTTGTGGAACCCCACTCGACACATTCGCCCACTCCGACAATTCAGCACGTACCAACACACGTTGTTTTCTTCCTGTCAGGTATTCCCTGATCCATTGCAGTACTTTCTGCTTTATTCATGCTTGCTCCTCTAATTTTTCACCAGTCTCTTGTGTGGTACTGTGTCAAAAGCCTTCTTGCAATCTAAGAAGATGCAATCTACCCATCCCTTTCTCTCATGTCTTACTTCTGTTACCTTATCGTAGAACTCAAGTAAATTTGTGACACAGGATTTCACATCTCTGAAGCCGTGCTGACTGTCATGTATGAGCCCAATCTTTTCAATGTGTTTCACTACTTTTCTCCTGATAATTTTTTCCATGACTTTACATACTATACAAGTCAGTGACACTGGTCTGTAGTTTAATGCTATCTGTCTGTCCCCTTTTTTAAAAATTGGAACTACATGTGCTGTCTTCCACGCCTCAGGCAACTGCCCTGTTTCGATAGATTTCTGAAGATTGCTGCTAATGGCACAACAGTTCCTCTGCTCCCTCTCTCAGTATCCATGGAGCATGTTATCTGGGCCCACCGCCTTTGGGGTTATCGAGTTCGTCTAGCAGTTTCTTCACCTCTACCTTGGTTATGTGTATTGTGTCCAGCGCCTGCTGTGCACCCTCCCTCCACAGTTTGCTGGAAGCATTCCTGACTCTATTGTGAATACTTCTCTAAATCTTTTGTTTAGTTCATCACATACTTCTTGGTCACTCTTCGTCAGCTCCCCTCCTTCTTTCCTCA